AATTTTTTTCGCAAACTCCGAGTGCAAATTTTTTTTGATAAAATTTCATCATTTGGACCCAGTATCACCCTCCATGAGTTTCATCTGGGTCCCACACTCAGAAGTCGAGATTCCGCATACTGAAAAATCCTGGATACGTTACTGATCTGTGCTAAAAATTTCAGTCTGATCAGACAAAATTTGATGATCGTTGTAATGTATCAGGCTATGGTCCCATGGAAAAATTAGGAATTCTCTATTAAACCTTTTTTGAAATTTTGTTTCTTCAAAAAAAAAATGTCTTTAATTATTAAAATGTACTACCATTGTACTCCGAGAAGCACAGCAGGACGTCGTTTCCCTCTTGACTCTGCCTGTAGAAAAAATTTCGGCTTCATTAATTTTACTTTTTTTCAACAATGCGAAGTAGTTAAAAAAAGAAGGGAGGAGTATTTTCAAGTCGATTGGTTACGGAAGTAATTTACACATATTTTTTAATTGATCAATGAACAATATTGATTTTTATCTATCTTTAGTTCTCATATGATGCTTTGTATTTTTCAATGTAAAACATCATTCATATTTTGAAATTTAGTTATCTATGGAAATAATATTTTAATTGAATGAATTTGTTTTGTATATTTAGGTCGAATGGTCGTTAGAAAGATTTAATGATGGAAAAAATTTTACATTAGCTGTTGATACTGATGTTTTACAATTTAATCAACCAGTTCCACGTTTACAAGCTATTCATGGTACTGATTCATCTGATTGGCAATTAATATTTGATCCACTTGATAGAGATGATTTTGGCAATTTAACATGTAAAACAAAATTTGGAAAGATTATTTGTTTTTTTTTTCATATTTATTATTGTTTAGGTCGTCTGACTGATACTAATTTACGAGATGTATATTTAACACGTTTACTAAATGTAATTAGTAAGTAAATATGTTGATAAAAATGATTAATATGAATGAAATTTTTGATATTAGGTGAACCTGTTGTTCTTGAATCATCAACAAAAGATATTGAAATTAATGAAGGAGATTCTGTTACACTTATTTGTAATGCTCAAGGTTTGTTAGTTATTATTAAAAACAAATAAAATATTATTGATTTTCTTCAGGATATCCAGCACCAAATATAGAATGGCAAAAAGCAGATGCACAACCTCTTAGTTCAGGTCATATTCGACAAGTCGTATGTTTTTTTTTTAAAAATTATATCGATTTCGTATTCTTGTTGCCGTGTTTTTTCCTAGGGCTCTCAATTACATCTATATCAAGTGACAAGTAGAGATAGTGGAATTTATAAATGCCTTGGTTTGTTTATAGACAATTAATACTTTAAAAGAAAAAAAAATCAATGTTCTATTTTCTTTTCATCTAGCTAGTAACTTGGTTGGTTTTGGTAGTGAATGGACGCTAAGACTTTCAGTGAGATGTAAGTTTTAACTGAAAATTAATAATGAGTATAATCAAGTTTTTATTCGATTAGATAAAACAACTTAAAAGAAATTGAGTCCATGATCTATTGATAAAAAGTTGTGGACGTTTTAATGAAATTTTTCCTGAGAGTAAAGCATCGCCGAAGAAAGACATGCTCATTTTCATTGAAACTTTCGGTACTATATAATGGTTATCAAGTGTGCCTATAGGTCAAATTTCAGATCGAAACTCCTTTTTTTTTTGACAATATCCTGCTTTCAGTAAAAATTTCATTTAGACGACCAATAACTCTATGTCAGTAGGTCATGAGTCTGAATCTTTTAAAGCTTGTCCTAGCTTCACAAAAAAGATCTATTCATAGCCATAATATGAAGTGAAAGGACATTCGACACTTGAATATGTTCTCTCCGAGACATTAATTATTGAGGGAAAAAGTTCGACTCATCGGTTTTTTTATTGAGGAAAGCAACTCGTGGAAATGTTTTTTGAAAAAGGATCCTATGCTAATATTATTAGCAGTGAAATCCTGTATAATTTCATTAAAATGAAGCTTATATGCAAAACAGTGTACTGTCCGTATTGGTTTGAAATCTTAAATTCTATCAAATTTATTTCCTTCTTGTTCGTTCAATCACTATGAGTATTGTATAATAGGTGCATATTCATAAAGAATTGACAAACCCCTAGCAGGCAATGGAATTGAGTGAACTAAAGACTCATATCCGCACTGATATTGTGATAAATCAAATTAGCTATGAACATCCTGAGAAGAGTTCGGGTCTCTAGCTTATTGCTGCCAAGATATAATAATTTGACGGTAGTTTTTAAATCAATCCCATGATCTCCTGAGGAAAACTGTTTTTCGAATTTTGACCTGAAACTTTGCATACAGACAATCCTCAAAGAAAATAGGTTCTTGTGAAAGTTTTAGATCTTTTAATTTGTTTCCATCCTGGAATAAGAACATCGAATTTACCGTTATATATGCGCAATGTAAAAGTCACACTATTATGAAAGCTGTATCTTAAGATAGAAATAACGACAAAAATCTACTCTTATTCAGAACAGTTTCTATCAGAGATGTCCATCCCGGCGCTGCCGCCGTGGTGGTGGCGGCGCGGCAGCGGCAGCTTTTTTAGGAAAAACTTTCAAAAATTCATGAATTTGCATGTTCATGTATGCTATACTGTAAGACTTAACGAATCTGATCGATTAGTGCCATCAGTTCTAGTTCAAACCAGTCACAGCCTTGAAAAGCAAAACATTTTTTCGAATACTATCGCGGCAGCGGCAGATTTTGAGTCGCGATGGACATCTCTGGTTTCTATGCAAAGTTTCAAATCGAAATTCAAAAAATCAATTTTCTTAAGGAAGACTACAACATTTATTTAAGAATCATTATGAAAGCGCTATATGTCGGCAGCAGCAAGTCAAAGAACATGAACTCTTTTCAGAATATTCATAACTCATTTGAATCTACATAATGTACGTAGTCTCGAATGAAAATTTATTTATCAATTGATAGACGTTCCTCGTAAATTTTCTATTTTGATTTTAATCATAATTATTCATAAGAATATTTATTATATTTTAGTTCGCCCATATATATACTGTCAAAATCAAGTTGGTCAAGCACCAGATTTTCAAGTTGATGTTTATATGGAATGTTATGTCTATGGTTATCCTCCACCGAAAATTTCGTAAGATTAAAATATTCTTGTTTTTTTTTTTTTTTTTTTATATTAAATCAAATAATATTTGTGTTTTAAGTTGGCGTCAAGAACGAAGTGCTGGTCCTTCAAATGCGAAATATGATATTGATATTTCGAATTCACGAAAATATTTAATGGAAGCAACAATACCAGAAATGTCAACATGTACTGATTGTATTCTATCACGTTTAACAATTATTAATGTTGAACAAGGTGATTTAGGTTTGTATTATATTAATGCAACATCATCTGGTTTTCCATCTGAACAAGGAAGAATTGAGCTTTATGGTAAGAGGAATATTCGAATTTATTTGAAAACAAAAAAAGAAAACATTAAACTATTAATATTTATATTTATTTTAGGCACATCTGATTGTCAACAATTTATTACTCATCGAAATAATAAAGGATGTAAAAGAATTTATAGTCAAACGTCATCGAGCAATAAGATATATTCAAGATTTTATACATTTCATTTTATATTTTTTGTTTTGTTTATTCAAAATTATTTAAAACATTCCATTTGTTAGTTGTTCTTTTACAATTAATATATTTGTAATTTTTTTTTCTTGTATTCTTAATATGCATATGTCAGATTATTTCATTGATGTTTTTTTCTTTTGTCTTTTTCTTTGAAAAAAAAAAAACAAATTCAACAGATTTACGACAAGACATAACAATAAAAAGTTGAAATAAATTAAAGAAAAACAAATAGAATAATTGACAATTTATAATTTGTAAAATGTCTCGAATATCTATCTATTCAACACGGTGAGATAATTGTTTCTTTGTTTGTTGAAAAAAAAATACTGCAGTATCTGTAATCAGACCATCCATTGATGAATCATCATATTGTTACGATTAATATGACGTTTAAGAATAATTCTCGAGATTAATTTACGAAATTCATTAATAAAAAATACAGATGATGTTAAACATGTCAAATAGAATAAATCTAAATACAATAAATATATTATAAATTCTATAGTCTAATTAAGATTAACCTTATCAAGATTTTATTACCAATATTATCTGCGGTTATAGTTTCCTATTAAATTTACACAAGGAAATTTCAATAAGACTAAAAAACATGAAAGGATTTGTCCCTATCAGTGACGTATCCAGGATTTTTCAGTATGCTGAATCTCGACTTTCGAGTGTGGGACCCAGATGAAACTCATGGAGGGTGATACTGGGTCCAAATGATGAAATTTTATCAAAAAAAATTTGCACTCGGAGTTTGCGAAAAAAATTAGCATTTTCCTGATCCCCCCTCCTAGGAGTTTTTGCTGTTAGTAGCATCTTAATTTTTAGAATTTCATAGGAAGCTATACCGAATTTCATCGACAAATTTCAAATTTCGTCTAAAAATATGTAATCGTTCAAGAG